GCATTGAAAAACACGTTTATTGTTCCATTTTTCATCCTTTTATTTGCAGTTTGTGATAGTCGTTGTGGATAGCACAGACAGAGAGAGGATTTCTGTAACCAGAGAAGAGCTCTATAAAATGCTGGCACATGAGGTAAGTGTGAGTAATGTTATTGGTGCTATCCTGAAATGTTTTGCAAGTCAAAATTTAATTTAAAGCACACTATTGGGGGTTACATTACAGAAGCGTAGTTCCCTTAAACACTTTTCATTGTTTAGTATTTTGTTTTTTCCGTATTGTCTTTGTAAAAGGCATGGTGTTTGTTGTGATGTTCCCAGGACCTAAAGAAAGCAGGGCTGCTGATCTTTGCCAACAAACAGGATGTGAAGGGCTGCATGACGGTGGCTGAGATCTCGCAGTACCTGAAACTCACCTCTGTCAAAGACCACCAGTGGCACATCCAGGCCTGCTGCGGCCTCACCGGTGAGGGGTAAGAGACCTCCGTACCCCGTATCTATTCCTGTAACGCATTACTTTACTGGGATCGTGGAGCTCTGTCATTTTAGTTTTCTATATCTTATGGGCGGAGCTCAAGTGAAAAGAGATTCAGGGTGGGGTGAGGGCTGCTGTTCCCTAAGGAGTTCATCCTGTTAAACGAAGCATTTCCCTTTACAAACAAATTTGCTTCTTAAAGCATCTGTGAAGATACTGTTTCCGCTTTAAAAAAATAAGACAAGTGTCCGCCCCTGGGTCAGAGCTCTCACACACCTCCTGCTCTCTCCTGAAACACCCTCCACCCCAAAACCAAGGGTGAATTAGCTTAACCCTGGGATTTTCCACCTCATTTTTGCTGTACAAATTGAGTACTGCATGTGATCTTTTTTTTTCCCCAATGAAGATGGCTTCAATACTCAAAAAATATATTGCCTATTAATGATGAAGATGTGAATTACTGCAGGAGCCACCATGTGACTCACTCCTGTGGCTTAGCAGTGCAGGTGGGGGTCATGAGAGGTTAAAAATGAGGGGAGGCCGTTTATCTAATTGCTTATCTTGTTTATCTGATTGCTTATTCATTCATTTCATCCTGGCATCCTTGAGTGATGCTAGTGAAGATTGCCAAGCACGGTTGGCTGTCTTTTTTCCATACACTCAAGACCTGTGTGAAGTGTTTTTTCTTGTTTTAAGCCCTGATTGCACATCCTGTTAATTTGCACTTGCTCTCTGGAGAGTCTTTCACTACTGTTGCAGAAATAGTGATCTGGGTTAACATTGTCAGTGCCTTTCAGGATTTTCAATCCTTGTGTCCAGTCGCCTTGTTGTCACTTTGACTAAAGACCTTCAGTTCTTTCACCTGTCGCTGTGCAGGAGCCTGGAGCTTCCTGAGTGTTTTTCTAGTGAACTGGGTGAAGCTGGCTACACTGAGTGCACAAGTCATCACCTGAAAGCAACATGTCTTACAGTGCTCACTTTAGAAAGGAGGGCACTCTCTGCTTATTGTTCAGCTCATGAAATATTGAAAGGAAATGTGCTCATATTAAAGTATGCATTTTGTGACTCCCTGTTTTTGATTTCTTGCAGACTGTGTCAGGGCCTAGAATGGATGATGTCAAGGCTTCGGGTCAGATGACCTCTGCCGTCGTCTTACAAGGACTTTATTTCTTGTGGAAGTGCTCGCACTTATCTTTCTGCGAAGGCAACATTGATCCTTTGTGGGTCTATCGGTTATTTATTGCAGACTGTGCTCAGACTCGGAACTGTGAATAAGACACTTCTTTAAGATGGGGAGAAAAAAAAACACGGAGCCAAATCCTGAGATCTAGATCTCGCTACGTGGAGCTTTGTAGTATTGAGTAACTACTGGAGGTGGTACTGACATGTTGTACAGTATTTAGCATTATTGTGTGCCTGCTTTGGACCCCAGTCAAACAAGATGAAGACAAGAAAAGAACAAAGAGCAATCGTTTCTGGTAATGTAAAAGAATCATGAAATAAAGCCTTTTTATCTGTTACGGGTGCCCCCAGTTTTGTGAAATGCTAGATAGCAGAGGTAGGTTCTTGTAACTAACTTGGTTCGTTCACTTTATAAGTGGTTTTCCTGTTTGCCGAATTTGCAGAATGGTTATATTAGTATTTCTGCGGTTCGGCAAAAGTTCTTAATATTACTAGTGGAGCCAGGCATAGTAGTCACAGAGCGTGACAGAAAAGAGCACAAGAGGTTACCAAATGTGCATGTACAGTACCTTTGAGGTATTGAGTTGGTCTCTTTGTAATAATCCCTGTGGAAGCTGTTAAGATTTACACTGAACAGGTAAACATTTTGAAGTGCGTGGTGAACTAAGAGAAGGACAGGTGTTTAGGACAAGTGCCAAATACTCTGAAATGAATGCCTGGAAGAATCGTGGGAAGTTAACCTTCGAGGAGACTGGGGGAGTCTTGCTCTGCTCTCGCCTTCAGTATGCAGAGGAAAGAGCAGGTGGAAAGGGAAATGGGAGTGCGTGGCTTGTGTAAGTGTTTTATTTACACTAGTGAAGGGGTAACTTTTTTATTCTCAGAGCTGAAAAATAGGACTGTTGAGAAAAAAACCTTGAATGGCCTCGTGGTGTTTTAGGGGTGAAATGAGATG